AGCCGTAGCTAACGTAGCTCGCATTCCATCTGCTACCAATACCTGCAGCGACGACCAGCAGGATGAGGGTTTCGAAAAAGCTAGGACACCTGTGGATCGTTCAGGTAAACTGTTTTTTTTTTTGCTCTTCGCGTCGGGCCTTTTGTGGTTCGCTACTGCAAGTCCCGAGACTAAGATTGCAGCTTTCCATGACCAAACATAACTCTTTGTTGCAACGGAGTTTACACCATCAAATTATGGTATATGATGAAAAAATTACATCGGTGTTTATTTACACTTGATATATCTTTCATCCTACTCTAGTTTGGGATAGAGAGATTGTAAGATTATCGTGGATTAGCTTGTGTTGATAAGACTAGCAATAGAGCAAAATGCGTTACATGAGGCATTTACCGAATGGCGTCCAGAATGTCCGGCAACATGAATCACTTGATTTGGGACTTTGTTATTTCACCTATATACATGAAACGGCTTGTTCCGTCGACTTACTTGATGCCTACTTGTGCAAATTCGTGTATAAAGGGGGCGTTGATAATACTGCAACACAAGTATGCCTTTGTTTCAGGTCGGCCTCGGTGTTTGGTGTATTCTTTCATGCACCGGCCTGGGTTATTTTTCGGCCTCCCATTGATGAAGACTCATGTCGACAAGGTGAACGGTATCAACATAAAAATTATAGATTGATGTCAAAGGCTAATGGATGTAAGGTCACTTTTGTTCTCATAATACCTGGCTAATCACTCCGCCGAAGGTGTTTAACCACTGGTTATTGGAATCCCGATGTTTGTAACTGGGATGTGTAAGACGATTTTCCACCAGTTTCTAGATCCAACATCCGCATAGTTTGTCTAATTATTTCTTGAGACTCACACAGTGCTGCATAAACAGCAGTGTTTGAGCACCAATTGTCTGTCTATCTCTATCTTCCACATGCAGAAACGTGTGTACCACATTATACAAACCAGTTGGACTGTTGCAGCGTATCCTCGATCCTTCATGGATAGGCGAATAACACCGCATCAGCATCACAAATATATTATGTAAGCATCCGCCAAGTAACCATTCTGTGTGCATGCTGGTACTTGACCTTCTACTAATTGTCTACCACGAGAGGGAGGGCGGTTTTCTATTTTCCCGATCGCCTCTCTTGGACACAGTGAGAGCAACCCAGTTTTGTGTCACCGATTCCCAGATCACGAGTTGCAAACATGTAATTTGGTTGAATCTTTACAATTTCGTCTGCATATCACAGGTCAACTGCCCCGGTTTAAGGGAGCATGGATATCAGATTTATTTATCTGTGCCCATGTACTCATTCTCAGATGCTGAAACGTCATTTCTCAAGTCTTCTGTTTGGGCCGCCATATTCGTTTGTCGTTCATCAACTAAAGACTCAGTATACCCGGCTAAAGTTGACAGAGAGCGGGGTCAATAGAAACCCGAAGAAGCTGATAGATAAGGGCCGTTGATTTTTGTCAACTATTCATTTGGTCAAAGGGCACAGAACATCAGCTTCATGTGGTGACCACCAAATTCAACGAGAAGTGTATCCCGGGCCATTTACACAACTCCGACGTGCATTGGTCAATATTTGCCGGGCCATTGCAATAAGTCGTCGGAACCCGTCAATGAAGGATTCCGGAATTGACGTACTGATCACGTGAATGGAACGAAGAATCTATATGCGGTTGAATTATCATTGCATGTAGTTCAAAATCAATTCGGTTTCTGTATTTGGTGGAATCTGAAATGCATCCAAACGAATCGTGAAAAATCAAAGTTGTCTTTTCTTCTCTCATCTTTGACAACGTCTTCTCTGGAAAACCCCACTGAATGGCAACATAGATCAATTAAAACCGAACGCAAGGGCAAACATTATATTTTGTTATCTATGTTTGATAAGCAGGTTTTACAACTGTTACTCTTTAGACAGTTGCTATAATCAATCAGAAAAATGAAAATATCCAACCACTAGGTTATTAATGACGTCATTCACAAGCATTCCTAAATAGAAGGCTGCAAACTATAGGGTTAGTACGGATCCAATACCACTTGTTTTACCGTAATAGAGTTTGCTCCGCTCCCGTTGCTCAAAACCTGTATGTCCCTTTTTACATGTTTTTTGTTAGCATTTTGCTATCTGAAGTACCCACAATCTCTCGCTCTGTGTTCAGGACGGACTTCTGGTCAACAATAGAACCATAAAAATGAACATCGCGGCAAAAAAGGATCGATTCAATGCACCTCAACTGAATTGAGGTTATGACTGCCAGCCAGGCACCTCAGAAAATAATTTCCACGAAAAAGCAGCATGCATTTGTGATGTATGATATGTGTAGTTCCCCGAAGTCCCGTTGAGAAGATTCAATTTTATCTATCGTCCTTGTGAATATGTCCAAAATGATGCGTTCAATTTTTATTTTGCTGAACCGTTACATTTCCGTGAAAACCCGGATTACCAAATGTGAAAAATACACCCTAAGCCGTAATTGCTCTTTTGCCGTTATGCTATCCAACACGTACGATTTCCTCCCTCCCTATTCCATGCTCGCTTCACTGTATCTCGCTGTACGATGATGATGATGATGGTATTCCATGCCTATAGCAATGCAATTTCCCCGTTCTTTTAAGACTGAACTTTTTCTTCCCTCCCATTGATGTATCCAAAATAAAATTTTTGCCACTAATCGTAATTGATGCTGAAGTGCCTCCGAAAGCCTCAGTATGGTCGAGATGTGTCGCGGCTGGTCACCCCTCTCTTGCACTTCACGAAAGCTCCTATACGACCAACCGTCTCAAATAGACTCTGCTGAGGAAGCCCTCCTCACTGCCTTCTCGTGACGGAGGTGCTTTCCCACCAAACGGATAGTATGGAAATCCAAAATCCGGGTTGGTGTACCACTGGCAATGCATCTAGGGGAGTTGGCTAAAAACCGTCATTCCGAACATACACAAGGAAGAGTAGGAACCACACACACACCTTCCTGGCTGTGGCAGTGTTCATCCGCTCATTGAGGCATTGTGATGGACTGTGCACCTTTGACTTTTGACCCCGCCGAAAGGGCGTATAATCCTATGAACTGCACTCCAGTCCCTAATTGATTGCGGTTCACACACACCGCTCCGCTGCTTTACAGGTCAGGTTTTGGCTAGTCGAAGGCTCCGGTTGTGAATTCCCTAAGGAAATTCACCTACCTTGGTCTGAGCAACCTAGAAGTATTCCGCCCACATGCAGATCATGAAAACTTTTATGAAAATTATTGTACTGTGATTTATTTAACACAGTTTGGCCTTAGACGTGTGTGAAATATGATGTAACGATGCTGAAGTTGACATCAATTCAAGGAAATCGTTTTCCTAATATTTTGGTACTTCGGTAATGGGTTTTTCACAGTGTTCGCTCCATTTTTCCTGTTGAAATCGCTTCTTTTGCCACTGATTGTTTGTGAGTTATTTTAACGCTTCTTTTTCACGCTCAAATCGCTTGTTTGTCCACATTAACCGAGTGTGTGAACTGACAGCCGTTACGTCATAGTGAATCACAGTAATTTGGTATCTGCCAATGTGAAAAGTAACTGGTTCGATCTTGGTAACAGTGTCCCAATAATCTCGTCACGCTCTATTGGTATATACTTGTCAACAAGGATTTCACATTGAATGACATTCTAAGTTTAGGTTCCTCATGGTTCTCTATGCATTTGAAATCAGTTCACCGAAATTAAATTGAAAAGAGTGAACATCCACATTTCATTGACTTGCCTTATGTACCTGACTAGTGCATGTTTAAAGAGCTTTTTTTGTTGTTTGTCTCCCCGAAGAGATGTACGATGAAAATTTTGGGAGTGCATTGTTACACAGGTTTCGTCTATCCATTTTATTCGTACTCTCCGTGTTTTCTACGGGAACAGCCTTGGTGGAAACCGGTGCAGATGTGGCTAGTGTCAATGCTCTGGAACGAGTGGACAACTCGTGTCTGGTTAGTGCAAACCAACTTGGACAACTGAAGGTTTGGGATTTACGTTGTGGATTACAAAAACCACAACAGCGATTGCTTCGGTGAGTCATATGGTGGGTTGTTCGATTTCTTGTCTGAGCCGATTCCTAAGGCGTATCGGCTATATGGAATCTCAATTTTAATGGTGTTCAACCTTTTCACTGAATGAGAATCCGATGATTACGTGTACAATCTCATCTTGCCACGTCTGCTGCGATTCAGTAGCTAATATTTTGCTAATACTCACGCGTGCAAAGTTGTTCATTTTCCTTCGAAGTGTCAATATTGTGACACTATTGTGAAGGAAATATTACGCTCCACCCAACAAATCCTAATTGAGCTTTCTACGCCCAATTTCAAGTTCGCTGGGTATATATTTGTGCAATTCAGTTTTTGTGCCATTTGCACCATCTCTCACGTGCGTCCATCCAATTACGATCAGTTCAGTCGATCGATATTCGCAAGCTAACCTGTGTCTTTGTTCTGCGCGTCAGTGAGAATTTCATGTGAGAAATATCAACACATACGTTTGATCGGTCCGGACGTGCACTTTTCATTGCACTTGACCTTTGTCAACTGCAGCCAACCTCGTCCTTCACAGTCAATCTGAAATGGCTGGTCGAAGTATGTCAACTAGCGCCGCTCCAGGGGTCGCGACAGGACCAGGAGTTTGCGGTGAATTGAAGTGTGGAAAAGAAATCAAGACCGGCATCTCATGCGCAAACTGCGTACGATCCTCTCATCCCTCGTGTGCTAAACTATCGGCAAAAAGGGTAAAACTATTAGTCTCACAGACAGACTATTTATGGTTCCGTGGGGAATGCTCCAAGCTGCCCATTATCAAATGCCTAAAGGATATCACACAGATTGGAAAACCTATTAGCAGCCGTCGAGGACAAGGCAAAAGTACAAATTGCTTCTCTCGAAGAGAAAATAAAGACCCTCAGTTCCCAGATCA